TCCTTGCGGGAGTCATCCCAAAAGCATCAATAAAGAGAAGTCTAAGTCTATTCTTGTATTTTTGTCAGTAAAAACACACAAAAAGAAAAAGTGCTGTTATTTTTTTTGCATTTAATATACTTACAGTTTATCTAGATCCAACATGGGCATACACAATGAAATCCTCAGCATACAATCACTGGTGTTACAATACATAGACATTGACAGTTCTTTATCTTAATCTGTGTGCGTTTGCGTGTGTGTATGGCATAGCGCGTTATTTCCCGAGTCCCAGTCTTCTCTCCAGTCGGTTATTGATTCCTCTCAGCTGATGCTCTGCTGCATGAATGTGCTGGGCCTCCAGTAGCAGAGCGGGCAGACTGGATGCTCCATACTGGATGGGAGGAGGAGAGGAAAGGTCACCATTAGGGCTTTACTGAAACTCTTGAAAAGCATCAGCTGTGCATTAGAAACTCCAGCGTGTGCGTACCGTTTCTTTCTCTCTGGGATGTTTGTGTCTGAAGCCCAGGTATTGTTTGTTGAGCTCTTTGATGTCATGCAGGAAGGCTTGGCCTCGTCTCAGATCCCCTAATCTGAGTTTAAGTTCAGCTTTCTCCTTTTGCAGCAGCCACACCTGCCTCTCTGCCCTGACCAAACACACAGACAGATAACAGCTCATTGTACACGGAGGAACTACTTTTACAGGAAGTTAGAAGTTATGACGAGCCGTGGCATCATTGACTGGTATTGTTTTCATCTTGTGACTGTGTGTGTATGTGTGACATCATGGCAAAACCCCCTACTGTAGAAGGAACCACCACGGAGGCGGTACTTTGGCAGGTGTTTACAGATTTAGTCGACGCAATACCTACCGTCACACCTGTGCAACATGCAGTCATGATGAAACTTTGGAAGATGGGAGTGTAATAATGTTGGAATAACTACGGAGTACTCGTGGTTGAGACCGTCAGCACGCTGCCTCTCACCTCATCAGCTCTTGTTTGGCGTCCAACAGTCTCTGTGTCTTTCCACGGATCAACGAACCCACCTGACGCACACAGACACAAACACAGACAGGACGGAGGGCGCAGTGAATACACACTGGCATCAAATAATCTGTAACGAGAGACTACACGCTGGCTGCTCTGACGCTCATTCACAGCTAATGTTTACCGTGTTCACTGCACTTTACTTTTTATTATTATTAGTGCTAAAAACCTATTCCAGTCTGATGGGAACATTCTCAGCATTGAGCGACCTGATGAAGGAGCTAGATGGGAAGTCAGAGGCTCACCAAAGTTATGATAATACATCCTGAGGGGAATATGAACGCTCTGTCATAGCTGTTGACACATTTCGTTAAAAAAAAAAAACCCACAAACGTCAACCAAAATGTAATCGCAGTTCCTCTAATAGTTGTGGAGATACTGCGGTCCGGACCGAAGCGGTAGGCCGAGCGACCGCCGCTGCCGTCCCTCGAACCGCGCTAGCATGGCTGAAGGCTGGTTGCCATAGTTACCTTAGCGTTTTCTCTTTTTAGCACCTTGAGCTCCTTGTAAGAAGTGATCTGAAAAGAGGAAAAAAAAACATGAGAGAATATACGTTAAAGGTCTGATATCAATCAGAATCATTCCCCTCTGTTTTGATGGATGTGTTATAATATGTATGATCACATTTATTGGTGACTTGAGCACTCTGGTGTCTGATTTGTGGGAAAAACACGTCACTGCTGTAATTCAGTTTGATAATTTTGGTTGTAAATCTGCAGTTTGAAACTCCGGTAACATTAAATCCTAATTGGCACATTGAATCAACAACACCTTGCTGGGATTCATGCACGTTAGCCTCAACGTAACCAGTCAGATGACTCAAAAACTGTAAACATCCTGAGACACACCCTGTTATGTGAACAGTTTAGAAATGGGGTCGTAATTATGTACTAGAGTCTCTAATCAGAAGCCTTTTGCTTTATCTGAATCAGGGGTTCGCAACAGAGTCTAAACCTTTAAATGTCAACCGCAAACATCCTGAAAACTTCAGAGTCCAGCTGCTCTTTCGCTACAACTCCTCAGTAACACAAACGAAACAGAATTTGGAAAGTCTGACCTTCTCCAGGAGTTGCTCTTTTACATTGGAGGAGAAAGAATAAATGGACTGTTTGACTGCTTTAGACTCCACAGACTCCCTAAAAAACATAACCAGACATACAAATACACTGTGACATCTCTTAACTGCAATATATGCCATGAAAACGATTAAAACGTGAGTGTAATTAGTTTCTGTGTGGTGATATAAAAGGGTTAGATCACAGGCTACAGACATCCACTAGAGGTGGAGAACAGTTTGGTTGTTTTGAGTGTTTTAGTTCACCTGTACTGCTCACAGAAGTCAAGGAAGGCCTCCAGCACCACCTCTAACTCCGTCCCTCCCTGAGGACGTCTCTTCTTCCTCTGTTTGTTGGTGTCGGCCTTCGTTGCTCCTGCCGATGCACTGCCTTCAGGTGGGAGAATTAGGTTTAGTGGAGAAGAACAGTAAACATGTTTAGACCTTGTGAACAACAGTTTGCAGTAAAAAAAACAAGAACGTCTGTTAACACATAACAAGATTTCCAAATTTTACAACTTATTATTATAACTTTTCTCTTACCCGATGAAGACTTTCTGGATTTAGACCCATCGGACGAAGACTTTCTGGTTCTGCTCAAACTATACACCTTGGCCTTCTTTGGACTCGGGTTCTGAACAGATGGCATGAAAAATCACAATGTAAGATACATTCTTGCGGATGCTCCTGGCTACAACGGTGTGCTGAAGTTAGTCCGTACCCAACTCGCGTCCTCGTCCACCACCGCCTCATCAGACGACAGGACTTTCTTACGTCTCTGCTGGGTGGTGCTGACGTCAGATTCCTCCTGGGGGGGGAGAAAAGAAGAAGTCTTTCAGAGCTTTCACAGTGAGCTCATTACCGGACAGTATCATCACTTCCTTACCTGTGACTGAGGGGCACTGGACTTTCCACTCTCTGATTCACTCTCTTTCTTCTTGCCTTTCTTTGTTTGCCGATTCTTCACTGGCCTTTGTTGACAAACGGGAAGACGGACAGATCAATACACGAGACGGACAGGCAAGACACAGAGGACACACGTAGATGCAGTGTTATGTCTAATGTCGAGACTAAAAACTAAAGGTGTTCGTGCCTTCGACTTTGGAACGCCCTGCCTGAGGAGGAT